GATCGGGCCGGCTGACGATGAAGGGGCCGCCCTATCGAATGTATACTATGGGAGGAGGCGACGGAGGATGCAAGATGCATCCACGTAGATTAGGAAGATGATCGGGCCAGCTGACGATGAAGAGGCCGCCCGACCATCTAAGACATGATGACCTCAGCAGTCGGGAGACTGCTAATTTTTCGGAACCCCCTGCGTATCACAGATGTGATAAGCTCAGACCCGTACCGCGCGGCTTCCTGTATCCCTGAGGAAAAATCCCCCGAAAGCCCCGAGGCACGGATGCGGACAAACACGGGGTTTTCTTTCTTTTTGCTTTTGTTTTCTTTTCGAAATGGCTTTAAAATTTCATTTTGTTTGGTTAATAACTCCCGTGCGGGCGAATAGCGGCCGCGGTATAAAAACCAAGAAACGGTTTCGGTGGGGACTTTTTGAATTTTTGCACGCGCGCGCGTAAGATCCGACTTCTTCGTGCGTCTCGCACCCCCGTTTCTTGCTTTGCATCCCCGCGCCATCTTCCCTTCTTGCTGCGCGCATTTCCCCCAGGCAGGACTCTTCGTCTCCCCTCCGCCCAGCTCGATCCTTACTCCGCGAAGTGATTGGCCACGTAGTTGGGATGCTCGGATCAATGTGGAGAGCGGGAAACCGCGCACCACTTGAACGGACACCTCAATCACGTAGGACCATGCCATCCCGCGGGTCGAACCCTCTAACTCCCCACCTTCCTCCTGTCCTGCTTATCTACAACCTGCGCTGCCCGCACCCCGCGCTGACTACCCGCCGCCTCCCGCGCTAGAGGAGACGATCGGAGGGGCGCGATGAACACGGGCAAGATCCCGCGCTCCCGGTCATCTGAACCAACACCGACTCCATACAACACTCGATGCAACTCTTCTCTCTCAAAAGTGGGTGCATCGGGGGAAGATGACGAAGTCTAAGCTCTCTCCCCTTGAGGGGGCGTTAACCGTCCGCGCGGACGCAGGCGGTTGACGTCACCGGGACAGGGACAAGAAGTTCAAAAGCGAGGACTATCAGTTCAAAAAGGAAGGTGATCGAGAGAGAGATTGAGTTAAGCCGAGACTGCGCGTGCGCACAGGAAAGGCCGCGGAAGGGAGGGGAACAACATGATCAACACACTCGTACTCCTAAGCAGATGGTCCTCCAGTTCAGTTTCCCCGTCCTCGCCCGGACAAGTACATACACACATACATGCATGCAATCAACAACCCTTGACAGGACATCCAATCATCCATAGACCTTCGACATCACTCATGCGCACAACCAGCTCCCATCACTCGGGGCTTCACACACACGACACGCATAGACAAAGCCGCAATGGAGATAAAAGCGAGTCCTTCTGGTACACAAAAAATTTAATTAATTGCTGCCCCCAGGCGCAGCCTTCAAACCTCCCAAGACCACCGACCACCATAGCCACAAGGCCCTGCCGCGGCCGGCGTCCAATCCCCACCACTGCTCAGTCCCTCCGGCTGCTTCGCCCCGAGACTACCGCGGGGTCCACCCCACGTCGTCACTCCGCCCGTCCTTGGGCTCGTCGAGCCTGTTCGGCGCCGCGGACTTTCGCGTATAGCTCGTGCAGCATTGCAGCCGAGATCAAAGAGAGAGAGACCTTCCCCGTTGCAGATGACGACAGCGTCTACTTCGATGCGGACGTACGGCGCGCGCTGAGACGGGGAGCAAGTGTGCTGGCGGGACCCGCCTCGGGCGTGTGATATAAGGGGGAACGGGTTTGTCTTGATTGATCGCTTTGATTCCCCGACTCTAATATTGCCTTATACGTGTTTGACGGTGTTGCCCTGGTCGGCCGCTCACGCCGCGTGGCGGCCGCAGTTTGATTGTCGCTGGTGTCGCCAGGGGGACTCGTGTTCGTGGCGACGCTTGGTCCTGGGTTACGAGGGAGCGACACKTTTCCYCGAGCTCTCCSGTAATGCGGGGGCRCTKCCCGCGCAATTTYGAATTCGGATGCCGCYGAGTCCTYTCGCCGTTTCACCCTCTCGGAAACTTCCRCGCGGACTTTGYGAGTCCGACGCCGAGGCTTGAAGACCTYGAASCAACCACCTCTACAGCAAAAACCCGATGGTCCGGTCACTTMGTGAGGCCGATGWCGAGGCCTGAAGGCTTCGAACCCACCACCTATCCCCCAAACCCATGACGGCCGGAGTTTCTGCCTTCCGCCGCCATGGCCCTCTCCCCTTGATGCCTTTTTCCGTCCTGATGCACGACGGCAATTCGTTTTTGCGGAAGCCTTTCTGATTTTATCGTTTCGGAGTGATCCGACCCCCACGGGACTTCGCAACGACAGTTCGACTCCGGGGTAACCTCTGGCACGAAACGAGAGCCTCCCGTTCCGTCCGGGAGACTCAACCCCTACAGCCAAAAATCCTCAGCCACGCCCCTCCTAGAACTCTGACCGGCGACCCAGTACGGGAAGCTGCGAGGGGGCGTGAGGTTGCGTATCACACGCTCGCTCGCTCGCTCGCGCACGCGCACATGCACGGGAGTGTGGGGGCGACATTTGCATCTGACAGCTCCTTAGTCCATACTCACACAAGGATTTCTTTCCGATGTATCTGTCCGCAGTTACGGGCATACTGACTTCTGGGACCTTTTGGGACATACTCACACTGGGAGTTTGGGCAACTTAGGGCACACTCACACTCTGACTATCCTTACGATATATTAACACTGCGACCCTCTGGGACGTACTCACACTGGGACTTCGGGTAACTTAGGGTGCGCCCACACTCTAACTCTCCTTACAGCATACTGACACTGGCACCTTTTGGGACAAACTTTGGGACTTGGGGCGACTTGGGACACAATATTCACAAGGTCTGGATACTGCCTGATAATGCCTGTTCCGCCTACCCTCTTGCCAGTCGCTGGTGCAGTTTCAGTCCCCTACTAATCCGCGCCACATCCGGAGGGGCAGGGGAAGATGGTAGGAGGGGCTTCTGCGGATAGTTCTCTTGGCCCGACCTCTCCTGTTTTGCAATTGGGTTGCTTCCTCCAACCTTTCCAGTCCTCCTGGCAGGTTTCCTTCATCTGGTACCCTGCTTTTGACATTTGCCCGTTTTTTTTATGGGCAAAAAACTATGAGGAAGTCCCAAACATGAGTTATAATTGCAGTATGGGCCAAGAATCCCCAGATACAGTTTGTTATTGCCGTTCGGGCAATGTATACAACCCACCTTTCTGGCCAGGTAGGGTCCCCCAAGTGCAATTGCAAACTGTATCTTTGCCCATTGTGCAATTATAATTGACTTACCGCGAGGGCACGGGTGCGCAGCCCGTAGTTTGTATATGCTTGATTGATAAAGGAGGCGTTATTGGTGAGGTTTAGAAGTATGCACTTGCAAATGCAATGCAGGTGTGTCGTTTCAACCCACGGCCAAGGGCGCGCCCATTCCGATTCAGACTTTTCCACTTTTCCACCCTGCCGCTGCTTTGCCACCGTTTTGACCAAAACACAGCTCGCGGTCCCACAGGCAGCTACTGGTCCCACATTTTTCAAAGAAACTGCCACCACCCCCCAAAGTTCCACCTGCCGCTGCTTTGCCACCATTTCGACCAAAACCCAGCACGCGGTTCCACGGGCAGCTACCGGTCCCGCATTTTCCAAAGAAACTGCCACCCCCCCCCAAAGTGCCATGCCTGCACCTGCCTGCATTTTTCGAACCTTCCAATGACCAAACGAGCCCGAATCAACGACCCGTATAACGAAGGACGACGAAAATGTCTCAGGGGGGGAAATGTCTCAGACGGGGAAAACGCACCCCTGACGGGCTGCGAACTCATTTTTGTGACGCCCCGCGTAGTTACCCCTTTTTTGTACATGCTTTTGGCTTCATTTTTCAACTGGAAAGTTCGCAGGTTGACTTCTTACTTCTGAGGTCACAGGGCTGCTACGTGAATTTTGTTTTCTGATTTATTTGATTCAGACTATTTCAGAGTTATTTTCACTCAGTAGATTCCATGGAGTTCAAACTCAGGTCTGCATTTTCACAGTTGGTAGGTGTACCGTCTTCTGGTTATTATAGCTGTATCTGGACTCAAAAGTCCACCACATACGGCTATAATGACCCGGGGTTCTATTCGGGTGAAGACGGTAGGCCAGTTGGTGTTCACTGTTCCGTGAATCTGAAAAATGAATTTGAAAAATCTTCAGTGGTTACATTATTCTGAATTTAATTCAATTTATTCAATCTTTTTTTTTTTTTTATAATCAGACTGCACTCCAAACTCTCCAGCAACATGCATACATATATGAACCAATGGCAAACCAACTTCTTCAACTCAGAATCAGCAATGAACTTGCACGGGCGACTTATGCCCACACACAAACTCAGAGATATGGCCTCCGGCCAGAAACTAAACTTAAGTCAACTATACATTTTGGGGAACATTGTTGTTGAAATACCCTTAAAAGTTGGGTTATTTCGTTAGATACCCCTAATTAAAAACAAAGGGGTGTGCAGAAATGCCCTCAACTTTTGCATCGGGCCCTGTCCAGGTCATTGGCAAATTTTCCATATGCCCTGGCCCCGGGCTAGAGGGCCCGACACATTTTTTGGTGCCATCTGCAGGGTCCAATAGCCATAAATACCAGGGAATATTGGTAAGCTGCCCAGGGCCCGGTAGCAGCGGTAGGGGTATATGCAAAAGATGACAGGTCCGACTGGTGAATGGGGTATTTTGCAAAGTTTTGCAATTGTCATAGGCGCATTTCGCCATACCCATGCCTTTTAGGGGTATCTGATGAAATACCCCAACTTTCAGGGGC